GGAGTCATTTACTAAAGTATTACATTTAGTTAATTGTTCAACAAGAGTTAGTCTGCCTGCCCTCAAAGTTCAAGCTCTTTTTCACTGTGAAATACCATTTCCAACCTGCCTTCCAAACTCATTTTCCCAATAAAAAAATTTTAATCAATCTGATATTAGAACCCCTAAATCAATCATCTTCTATAGGTTACATATGTGATCCTGAACTCCTGCCAAGAAATAGATAAGGCCATCAACTCCATATTCTAAAACTTCAACTGAAGTATTAGGATAATGAAGTTTGATGAATAAGCAAAATAAATTATAGACATTTTTTAAATTAAATTCAATATTCTCACTTCTTAGGTAAAATACTATTGAGCCAAAAAGCACAATAAGTTCTTATTTTTAGAGAATACACAGCAATTCAATGTAGCAGCTATTTAAGAGCTATCTTCTCTATATTTTGTTCTGTATTAGATGCTAAGAGATATACCAACTGAACAACAACAAAAAACTCCCATCTCCTGTAGCCACTTGGAGGAATAGGATATATTAATGCAAACCTTAAGCAGATGAGTGACATGCACTAGAAAGCATATTTTTCTTAAAGTTATAAATCACAAAATCAAATTTTATATTGTCAGATGGTGGGGACATTTGTGCTGGGGGGAAACCAATAGCCTTGCGAAGGCTGTGATAGAATCTTTCAAAGTAGAAAGGAGATGAAAGATACTGTCTCCCTTATTTCACTTACTATTCAGAGCCAATACAAAAGTTGTTATGGAGAGTGGCATGTGAAGTGCTGAGATGAGCATGGAGCAGAAGGGAGAATGACAAGAAATATTCCAAACAAAATATACACAAAGAATACATCATTAATTTGACAGGGGAGGTAGATGGATATATGTATGTATCTACTTCCTCTGTCAAATTAATGATATTTGGAATATAAAAGCAGTTATGACATTCAAATTAAAGGTCTAGTCCTGCAGAAAAGGGTGAGGTACCAAGTAACTTGATTTCTTCTTCAGTTCATAGTTACTTCCTCATAAATGACAGATTATGCTAATAAATCACTTGAGACACTCGACACCCATCAGAATTAGCAAAATGATGAAAGATAACAAGGGCTGGCAAGGATGTAGAGGAAGGGGAACTCTTTAACACTGTTAATAGGAAGATAATTTAGTATATTCAGTATGGAAAACACTCTGGAAGTTCCTCAAAACATTAAAAAATGCAACCACCATATGACCCAGCCATCCCAACTCTGTGTATATATTCAAAAGACATGAAATCAGTATGTCCAAGAGATACTTGCATTCCCGTGTTCATTCCAGTGCTGTTCACAATAGCCAAGATATGGAATCAATCTAGGTGTCTATAAATGGATGAATGGATAGAGAAAAAATTTACACACACATAATGGAATAGTATTCAGGTTTTAAAAAGAAGGAAATCCTGTCACTTGTGACAACATGGATGAACTTGGAGGAAATTATGTTAAGTGAAAAAAGCCAGACACAGACAAATACTACTTCATCTCACTTATATGTGGAATTGAAAAAGTTGATCTCATATAAATAGAGACTAGGATGATGGTTACCAGGGGTGATGGGGAGTAGAGAGGAGATATTGGTCAAACTATACAAAATTTCAGTTAGATGGGAGGGACCCCTACTGCACAAAATGGTGACTATTGATATTGTATTATATTTTTTAAAAATGTTGAGTGTATTATATTTTTTAAAAATGTAAAGTATTGTCAACACAAAGATAACAATGTGAGATAACACATGCTAATTAGCTAGATGTACACATTCCACAATGTATGTACACTTCAAAACATCATCCTGTACACCATGAATGTACATGATTTTTACTTGTCAGGTAAAGAAAATAAACTGCCTGAGAAAATGAACATAAACAAGAAAAAAGGATAGGATAATGCCTCATACACTGTGTTTCTTTAAAATTGAACGAGATATGGAATAAGGAAAAATTAACCTTTGCAGAGGTTCCTCATAATCCTTCTCCTCTCCCTGTCCCACTTTTCACCCAATTGCTTATGAAATTTTAGAGTGATCTTTGACTCTTTTTCACCCACATTCAATCTATGAGCAAATCATGTTGCCTCTGCCTTCAGCATCCATCTTTCCACCTCCATCACTACCAGCCTACTCTAAGCCATCACCACATGTCACCTGGAAACAATGCAATGTTTTTCACACAACCAACCGTCATTCCTCTACACAGCCATAAATCAGGTTGAACCATAAATCAGACCCTGTCCCTGCCTTGTTTAAAATCTTACAATGGCCGAGATAAGATCTAAATCTTTATGACAACATTGATTGACAAAGTAACCATTGAATTTCAGAGAATAAATGGTTACCCTTGGAAGACACACAAGTAAAAATACACATAATGCTTGTATTGGGTAAACAGAAATTCTTTGTATCTCAATCTCACTTGCTTTCACTTATTTACAATCCAAAAATATCTAACATTTTTGATCACCAGTCTCTCAAAAGTCAAGTCAAACAAGTTACACTAAAGAGTAAGCTAGAGAAGATAAAATAGAACAAAAAATTTTTTTTCTCTTCAAAATATCTTGCTGAGCAGACTTTGGTTGATAATGTGAGGAATGAGTATAAGCTTATAAAGTTAGCATGAAACTTTGCCTCTGAAGTGTTCATGCTACCATTATTCATAAAATAGATCAATTATATACAAATAAATTCAGATCTCTAATTTTATTGGTGAAAATTCACAAAAAGGTACAAGTGAAACATACTCATATCACAATATAATAGAAAGGCTTATCAAGTTGACTTTCAACGTAGGGAAAGTTGTAGAGCAATGTTTGAAGAAATGGCTTGAACTGTGGTTCAGGTAATGCCGTACCAATAGCAACTTGCCAGATTTGCTAATATTCTATGGCAGTGGTTCTCAACCTTCCTAATGCCGCAATATATTGTCATTGTTTAAAAGGGGTTGCGACCCACAGGTTGAGAACCGCTGTTCTATGGGGATATAAGACGCTGTCAGCAGAAAGCACCGAGTCAAGGGTATATGTGAACTATAACTAATATTTTTGCAACTTCTTATGAATTGTAAATTATTTTAAATTTTTTTAAAAGATGGGCCACCCATATAATGAATACACGATGTATTTTAATTATATACCACTCACATAAACTCATTAAAGTACTTCTCCTCGGGACTGATACTAAGAAGTTTTGTTTTTAATATTTATAATATTTACAACACAAGCAATGGAATGAGATAAACCAGGATAAAAATCCAGCCTCAGGAACTTCTAGCTTTATGAACTTAGAAAACTTACTCAATTTCTCCAGCCTCAGTTTTCATATCCATAAAATACAGATAATAATACCTAACTTATAACATTGAGAGATTTAAATAAGATAATGTATGTAAAATGCATAGTAGAGGCCTGACATAGAGCAAGCCTACATGATAAGAACTCAATAAATGGTAGCTAGCTAATGACTATGGATAGTTTTAATTAATAAAATTGAGTTTCTCTCAAAATAGCCTGTAGCTCAGACTCTGAATGAGGTTTTTTAACACATTCTTATAAGAAAAAATCCATTATATGGCTCCTGCCAAATTCCAACTTGCTAACCTTTTAGTTATAATTAAAGTTTCTCATTGATCCCTGTTAGAAATGCTTCACAGATCCTTTTGGGGATCAGAAAGGCATTTTCAACTCAAATTATCAAATCAGAATATATAATCATTGCCCCAAATTTAGTCTTCTTCTAGTGAATGACATCGCCATCCATCTACACAAATCAGAACCCAAGAAAGCACCTCACATTCAATTAGCCTTATAGATTTTATCTTCTGCCTCTAAAGCTGCCTGATTTTCTTCATGGCTCCTGCAGCCCCTGACTATAAGTTATACTATTTCTTGGCATCCCTGGATCCAGTTAGCTTCCTCCTACTATCTACACTGTGCCTACAGTTATTTCTTTTACATATCAAGCATGATTCTAAGTGTTGCCTTCTACCCCCACCACCTCTTTATAAACCTCCTGCTTCACAAGGCCCTGAGGGTAAAAACTGAAATTCTTAGTATGACCAATGAATGTGGCCCTGTACTACTCCTTGGAAGCCTGTCGTGCTCAGCCTCTGCTCTCCACGTCCTCCACCATACAAGCCTTTGCTCCTGTGTTCTCCACTGTCCCATCCACCACAGAATCACCTCTTCATGTTTTCTTTTTCTTTTGCTTTTTTTCTGACCTTGTTTTTTCTTGTCCTATAAGGATCATGTAATGAAGCAACCATTATTCCTGATACTGATGTGTTCCAATTAACTGTGACTCACTCCCAGCTTTGTTATGTACATTCCATTCTAGTTTTCATTATTCTTTCTACCGTAGTTAGTCTAGGCTCTTATCAAAAAGGACATATCATCTATATTACTATGCTCTGATCTCTACTTGTAATACCTTATCTTTCATCATTTTTATCTTCCAGTCTCATCTTCGGTGTTATGACAGCTTGCCATCAGTTTGTTCTTCATATTACCTGTTCAGTTTGAAACAGCTGTGACTGTGTTCTTTACCACCTCCAATGTATTATTAAATTTCATATGATCCTTCATCTGCTTCATCTCTATCCTATTTTATTTCTGTCTATATCCTAAGCAGCTACCTTTTCAATTCAGACTCTTGTTTTCTCACCTCACACTTCTTATCCCACCTAATTTATATTTGGGGGGAATTTTATTGACAGCAATTAATAAAGTATTACTTAAAATTTGCTCCTGGAATAAACTATGTTCCTCTCCTACCTTTTCCATAATTTTCTTCCTATTATTTTACAGAGATTATGAATAAAAAAAAATCCTTAAGGTCCTTTATTTTTCCACTTTCTCTCCCTTGAATTATAAGGCTGAACCTAAAATTGAATTTTATATAGTAACGAAACCTCAGCAGAAGTAAATGAAACCATGAAAAAGGTGCAAAGGTACTGTCATTTCTTACCTCTCATTTCCTGAGGCAATATCAGCTCCAAGACGTGTCCACGATTTCTTAGGATAAGCACCGTTAAGCTGAACTTTCCCATAAACCCCTGAAAAGGAAAGAAGCAACAGCTGGCTAAGAAAAGTACTTCAGAGGCATCAAGACCAGGTAATTAAACTAATTCCAGATGTTATTGTGCAGAATGTGTGATAATCCATGTATGAAGGTGTCCATCTTATGAGAAAAAAGTATATTTAAGTGCTCCATTTTACAAGAAGCATTGTCATGTTGGATGGTTCAAATAAAGCATCTTAATTTGTGGCAAAAAAGAAAGGATCACCCTATATGAGGATGTTGAATATTATGAGATATAATTTTTTTTTTTTTCTGAGGCAGGGTCTTGCTCTGTCTCCCAGGCTGGGTGCAGTGGCTTGATCATAGCTCACTATATCCTCCATCTTCAGGGCTCAAAGGATCCTCCTCCTTCAGCCTTCCAGCCTCTTTTAGCTGAGACTTCAGAAATATACCACCATGCCCAGAAAAGGTATCTAGTTTTGTAGAGACAGCATCTTGCAATAATGCTCAAGCTAGTCGCAAACTCATGGCCTCAGGTGATCCTCCTGAGCCTCCCAAAGTGCTAGGATTATAGATGTGAGCCACCACACTCAGCCTGGCTTTTGAAGTTTTGGAGTGTTTGTTCCTAACCTGCTGTCTTAATTTAGATAATTTTAGATAATATTTAACACTTTCGATAAGTAAATATACATATGTATGAACATACTCATACATATTTAAATAGAAGTTCTACCCTGGATTGACACATTGATTTTGTTGCAAGCCAGCAACCTAAACATTTTTAAATTTCACAATTTTCAACAGAAAATTCATAATTAAAAGAAGTAAGCCAATAAGGTACAAATTATATGCCTTAAGTTTCCATCCAATGTTGATTCCCCTAAAAATACAATTAATTAGCACCCAACCATTTATATAAACATCCATAGTTTTTCTATTCTCTAATTCAGAAAAAAAGTCATAAGATAGTAAAACTAAAAATCAAGATGTGTGAGTGTAAAAATAATCCCACTTTCAGAAGATGTGAAACCAATCTTTCACAGTAATCATTTTATAAAAATATTTCATAAGATACCATCATCATTTAAAACAAAAATTTATCTTTTTACTATAGGCTTAGTCAGCTAAGCAAAGAAGGATCCTGAAGTAACTTAAAGAGATTTCCAAGCACAATGCTTATAACAAAAAGCAGTTCATGTCCTTAAATTTGAATTATCCAGAAAATTCAATTGACCATAAAAGCAGATTTCTTGGTCATTTCCAATCATCAAAGGTTTACTGTGAAATGACACCATTTCTTAGTTGTTTCAAGGAGATTACAAAGGATTTAAAAGGATTAAAATCTGTCACTTACTTATGATACCACAAAAATTTAGGCATTCAATGAAAGAAATATTTCACTCTTTCCTTCAATTTAGTATCAGAGAAAATTTCAAAAACACTAATTAGATCATGTGGCTGGGTTCAGGGATCAGCACAGGCACAGAAAGACTGTATCAGTTTAAAACTGCATCAATAATTACATAATATTTATAGTAAATAATACAGACTCTTAGACTAGACTTTGGTGTATGACCAACCTGGATATAAATCCTAGTTTTGACATTATAAAGCTGTGTGGCCTCTGCATGTTATTCTTCATCCCTGAGTCTTAGTTTTCTCATCTCTAAAATGGACACTGCTCACAAGAGAGCCAGTAAGGAAAATAATAACGAAATATGACCTAGACATGTACCTAAAATTTAGCACATTCTACAAATGGTATTTCTCTACCACACATACACACATATTCTTATTTCAGTTTAATAAAAACTATACCATTCTCTTACCAATTGTTCCTGGATCAATACGAATTCCATCAAGACGGTCACAAAAGACTCCCTCTGAAGCTCTAAGGAGAATCAGAAGCTTCTGTTCTTTTTCTAAGGGATTTTCTAAAGTACCTGTTTACAATGAAAAGTATAACATTCACAACAATTTATAACTAAAAGAAAGAAAAAGGAATTGTGATGTAATTTCAGGAATACAAAGTAGACACCATAAAGTAAACTCTACGGCAAAGAGCCAATAGTCACATAAATAAAATTAGAGTAGGAAAAAAATAAGACTTAGTATACTTCTTTGAGCGAGATGGGATGATTATTCAGCAAATATTAACTCTTCTTTATCATAGCAGAGTGAACTTTCCTGATCTACTAATATTTACCCTGGTCATGTGACTTGTTTTGGCCAATGAACTTTGGGTGGGAGTGACCGTAATGCCAGCTCTCAGTTAATGCCTTAAGAGACTTGGCAAGTTTCCACCAAATCTCTTGCAATGATGCTTACTACCATGACAGAATAATTCCTCCAATGACCTCTGACCTACGAATGTAGACATATACAAAGCAAATCTGAACAGAACACACAAGCCAAGTCTCATTTAATCTAAACAGAAATATTTCTTCTTGTAAATGGCTGAGATTTGGAGATTATTTGTTACACACCATTACTATGGCAAAGCCTGCCTAATACACTGTCTATGGCTAAGTAATCCCCAAATTCCTGTACATACATTTTAGCATTTAATCTTCATATTACACCTGACAAGTATGATTTTAATCTCTCCCAATTTTAAATATTCACATTTAAGAGGCTCAGAGGTTGAAAGATCTGTCTAAATGTATACAATTTTAGTAATAGAGTCTATTTTTAACAAAGGTCTGTTTATGTTGTTTTCTTAAACAAAAGGTTGTTTTCTAAAACTAAATTCTTTTGGCAGCATAAAGACATATAAACACCCAAGGTTGTGACAGATAGCACTTGGAAATTACTTCTGACCTCGTTCTATTGATATTAACGGTAGAGCCTGGTTACTTTTATTGTATAAGAGGGAAATGTGCAAGGAATTTGCTGAAATAGCATTCGTGTATGAACCAAAGGAAGGTATTTTCTTTGGAAAATGTATCTCAGACTACAGAAAATACTATCAAGCATCAGTTGTTTAAGAAATGACTGATGGGCAGCACTGTGGCTCAAAGGAGTAGGGTGTTGGCCCCATATGCTGCAGGTGGTGGGTTCAAACCCAGCCAGGGCCAAAAACTGCAAAAACAAAAAATAACTGATGGTAGTCCTCCAAATTATGCATTGGATTAAACAGGTTTACAATATCCTACCAAATAAGACTTTCCAGTTTAAAACATAATTAAAGGCTCAGTGCCTGTGGCTCAAGTGGCTAAAGCACCAGCCACATACACCTAAGATGGTAGGTTTGAATCCAGCCCAGGCCCACCAAACAACAATGACAGCTGCAACCAAAAAATAGCTGGACATTGTGGCGGGTGCCTGTGGTCCCAGCTACTTGGGAGGCTGAGGCAGGAGACTCGTTTGAACCCAGGAGTTGGAGCTTGCTATGAGCTGTGATGCCACAGTACTCTACCCAGGGGGACAGCTTGAGGCTGTGTCTCAAAAATAAAAATAAAAATAAAACATAATTAAAAATGATGTAGCAATTCAGTACAAAATAATTGTTTTGGTTTTCGTTATGGTTAGGGGTAATTCACGTAGCATAAAATCATTCCCTCCAGATGATATTTCATAGATACCTCATTAGCCAAAAGGCTCAAGGTGGGTTTGAAGCTTACTACATACCTATCTTTATAGACCAAGCTTCACAGCTGTTACTGTAGTAGGGGCTGGTGGGAACAAGACTCAAAGAGGTAAGTAAATCTTCCTAGAGTCATAGGGTGGGTTGGTAAGCAAGCCTGTGTATCTCCAATAAGAGGCTAAGGTATGCTGCTGCTCTGTGTAGGTAATGCCACTCCCTGGCTCAGAGGCTAACGCGTCCTCTTAGCCAAAACAAAGATGTGTTGGAGTAGAAAGAAGGGAAGCAAGGGAGGAAGAGACTATTAAGTAAGTGTGTGTGGTGTAGCTCTTATCTTGCGGTTATAAGTCTGTCCAGTAAGCCGTTTTCCAACTGTGATTTCATTTATTTCACGGAGGGTAGTTTAGAGTCTTGCGGGAAAAAAATGGCCTAGCATAAACAGATACCAGACAGAAAAAAAGTAGGACAGTTTTTGCCCTAGAGAAATGTATGCAAAGTCCCACAAAAAGAGTTCAGTGCTCCTCTAAAAATCAAAGATTAAATCAATTATGCAACCGAAAACTGCAGCACATGCGGAGATTTCACAGAAAGTCTGGGCAAAATTAGTTAGCCTGCTGTGATCCTTGATATCTGAAATGACCAGAGTTTGGCTTCCTTTTTGTAACTTAAGGAAAGGCAAAGATGGAGGATAGGGACTATGTAGGAAAAAGGCAAGGGTAACTGAAGGGAAGAAAATACATGGCATTCTAACAGTCAAATGCAGTGCTTCTTTCAGAAGCAGGTGTGTGAAAAGCTTGGAAAACTAAGATCCTCATTTTATTCTCAAATCTATCAATCAAAGAAGGGTGAGGCACTCTCTCCAGCATGGAATTTGTCCCTAACTGAGAGCAGTTACCTCTAAGAGAAGATGCTAAGGATAATGTAGTTTATCCTTGGTTAAGCACCTTTGTCAAGCTGCTCTATACTACAGCAAGAGGCATATTAAACCTGGTTGGAGTTATGTATTCATAATGAGAGGGAAAATAATTGTCACTGTGCTGCAAGGACATTCCAGATGTCTTTACATGCATGAATTCATTTAATTTTCGCAACATATGATGAATATTGTTGAGGTGCCCGTTAGGAAACTGAGGCAAGGAGCAGAACATAGTTATCAAGTGGGGAAGGTGGACCTCAGACTTAATAAGTACCATCCTAGCAGATGTGACTATGAAGAAATAGAAAGGAAGTAAAAAGTTGATATTACTTAGCATGATGGTGGGCAATGGAGGGGAAACAATATGTTCCAGATGCTAAAACACCTGGGGAGATGGAAGAAAATAAGTTGTGTTACATGAAAAATAACCATTCTAATGATTTGGAGAATATGGTACAAATGGACTGCATGAACTTCAAAAGGTAAGAAAAAGGGGAAAGGATGTTTTATTACATATTAACTAAATTTCTGTGGTTTAGTTAATAAAGCAAATCACTTTTGAAGGGAGATATAAACCTAGAGCCCACTCTATCCGCATAACTCCCCACACCTTGAACTAAGTTAATCCATACTGAATCATTTAGCTTCCCCCTAGAAATATATAACCCTAGAGCCCACTCTACCGACATAACTCCCCACCCCTTGAACTAAGCTAATCCATACTGAATCACTTACCTTTCCTCTAACTCTCTCTTCTCCGTGCCCAGGAGATTTCCCAGCCTTTTCACATATATCCTTTACCTTCATCTTGATTAACCCCGAATCATCCCCCCAAACTCAGCTCCACTGTAACTTATTTCTAAAACCCTTCAATGATCTTGGATTAGATGCCCCCCATTTTTTGCATAAAAATGTCTGTACCCCTTGCTGCAATAATTCTACTTCAAAATAGAAGTAGAATTCTAAAGAAGGAATATGATTCATGTCAGCACTCCGGGATGCTGAAGCAGGAGCATCATTGGAGGACAAGAGTTCAAAACCAGCTTGGGCAGCAGAGAAAGATCATGTTTATACACACACATAAACTAGTATAATGTATGAACAAAGATTAAGGCCTAGAGTTCTTCACTATAATGTTATTTATTTATAATAGCAAACATTTGGAAACTCTTTGAACCAGCAAATAATTGGAAACATGTTTGTCCATTTAGAACTCCTTCTATCCTCTTCCATCTTTTTTGACATGCTCAGTAGTGGAGCCACACAAACTCCCAAGCATTCCATGTGCTTCCTTGTCTCTGCGCCCTCTGTCTGAAACACTACCACTTCCCTTTTCTTCATAGTTAATCGTTACTTTCAAACCCAGCTCAATACCACCTCTTCTGGGATTCTTCCTTGTCAAATACATCTGGATTGAGTGAACCTGAATAGGCTATCACAAAAGTGTTTTAGGTCAATACAACTATATCCTAAATGCCTTCTCTCAGTCAGCTTAGAGAAGAAACTATAGATTTCCAGCAAAGCTTATTTGGAAATATTTTATTCCAGAAGTGGTTAACTAGGGTAAGTTTTACCAATCATCCTGTACAAACAATCAGAAATAACGAGAAATATTCCATATTAATAGAAGACTATCTTCACTGGTAAGTTATAACAATTTTAAACATACATGCACCTAGCATTATAGCATCAACATATATAAAGCAAAACTGAAAGAACTACAAGGACAATTGGTTACATCTATGATAACAGCAGCAAAGTCAATAAAACTGCTCCTAGAATAAACAAAAAAATGCAATAAGGAGACAGCAGTTCGAATAAAAAAATTAGCAAACTTGACACAATGGGCATAGATGGAAAACTGGACCTATAAAGAATGCACATTTTTTGAGCATGCACAGACACTTAGAAAAATTGATCATAAATAAATAAATCAGCTTAACAAATCTAAAAAGATTGGTATTACATAGAAATTTTTTATGACCACGGTTCAATCAAAATATAAAATTCATAAATAAGTTTTTAAAGTGAAGTGTATTATAATAAAGGTTTTCCAATCATCAAAGGATGCAATTAAGAAAATAAAAAAGGAAGCTACAAAGACAAATGATGTTTGCAATCCTTAGACCCAACAAAAGATACATTCAAAAATATCTGACTTCAATACATCAATATAAAACAGAGAAGGTGTTACTTAAAAGAGGTAAGAGAATAGCTACTTTGCAAAATAAAATAGTCTCAAATAAACAAAATATAAAAATGCTCAATTACATTAGAAGCATGAGAAATAAAAATTTAAACAATAATTACATCTCACTACATATTCACTGGTTTATGTTTAATTGAGTTGCATGTTCTTATCTTATAAAATTTTTATGTACATGTGTATCATATTTCACATTCAACAAAAATTTATAAAGTGACTAGTCTGTTCTAAGATCAAC